CCTGTTTCCTTGCATACAATTCCTAATCTCCTTATCATCTTCAAAATGATGGGTTTTTTTGTATGCTGATGAATTGACTGATGGCTGGCAGCCCATACATAGCTTCTGGATGGGAGCTGGTCACTGGGAAGACCCAGGCAGGATTAGAGGGTTGGAACTCTCAGCCCCACCTCCCCCCACCCAAGCTCTAGGCAGAGGGCTGAAGGTGAAGTTGATCACTAATGACCAACAGTTTAATCAATTATGCCTATGTAATAAAGCCTCCATAAAAAAACAAAAGGACAAGATTCAGAGAACTTCCAAATAGCCAAACACATCTTGCAGGGTGGCACACCCAAACAGGGCATGGAAGCTCTGTGTCCCTTTGCCCATATGTCACCCTATGCATCTCTTCAGCTGTATCCTTTGTAATATAATAAACTGGTAAATATAAGTTAAGTGTTCCCTTGAGTTATGTGAACCTCTCTCTGAAGTTACTCTAACCCAAGGAGGGGGTTGTAGGAACCCCAATTTATATCTGGTTGGTCAGAGCACAGGTAAAACAACCTGGAGCTTGTGATTGGCATCAGAAGTGGAGGAGGCAGTCGTGTGGGACTGAGCTCTCAAGCTGTGTGATCTGACACTATCTCCAGGTAGATAGTATCAAAATTGAATTGGAGGACACCTAGCTGGTATTGACTGTAGAACTTCTTGCTTGCAGCTGGTGTTGACTGCAAAACTTCTTGCTTGCTTGTTGGTGGGAAGAAATTCCCACACATTTGGTCACAGAAGTCTTCTGTGTCAATTGTGGTGTGAAAACAGGGGGAAAACAGTTCGTGTTTTGTCCACTCAGGAGGGTACTTGAGAAGGTTTTCAGTCCCCCAGGTGTTTACCAAATGGGGAGAGCAGACAATAACAGAAGAGAGGAAGAAGGAAGAAAGAGAAAGATAGCAGAAAAGGAGTTCTCTACTATTTCATCTCCTCCATAGTACCTTGGTTTTGATAAGTATCCATAGACTAGAGTACTTGTGGGAGTCCAGGAGTCCAGAGGAAAGGTTCCAGCACACAACTGGAACAAAAAAATCTGAAAATAGACACACTGAAGGGAGTAAAAAGACGAATTTCACCTTACCTACATCATCCCTCCCCCAAGGTGTCATAGCTCAGTGCCAAGGAAGACCCCTTCAACCCACAACTTCTCCCATAAGAGAATGTAAGAGTATAGTGAGTGAGCACCTGACAACATGCTGCCCAAGGCTCCCATCCAGTATACTAAGGGGATCAGCATGACTAAGTATCCGGGAGAGTCTGGGAGCAAGGAAAGGAGGTGAGGGAATCACAGCAATCAGAGCTTGAAACCCAACAAAGGGCCATGTATCTTACTACCTTCTTCATGGACTCCATCATGAGGTCTATCCACAAGCTGCTTGAGGTGCCTCACCTATAGACTCCCCAACTGGCCCATGAGCCTGTGTTCTTCACCCCCCAACCCCCCTGTTGCTCATTATTCGTGCCCCCTGGGTGTCAAGTGTGAGTCTTTGCATAGGGTTCATAAACACACCCAGTCAGCCGGATTGACTATGCAGAATTGGGAGAAGGGACATAAATGAGCAATCCAGGGCACTGCCCTAGGGAAAACAAATGGGAGACTCTCAGCACCTGGCCTGGCTTTGCAGTATCAAGAGAAGGCATACTATCTTAAGAATCCCCCCTACCCCAAGAGAGAACAAGAGGGGTGGAGTGGGTGCATCTATAGAAAGATCTGGAAGAGCCTCAGAATCTGTAGCCTGGCTGACTGATGAAGGTATTTTTTCCTAAAGTCAGTCAGTAAAGACTGGAGGAGATGCCTGCTTCAAATGCAAAGATAGCAACATAAGACTTCAAGGAACATGAAAACCAAGGAAACATGACACCAAACAAAGGAACAGAATAATTTTATGGTAACTGACCCCAAAGAAATAGAGATCTACAAATTGTCTGACAAACAATTCAAATAATTGTTTTAAGGTAGGTCAGAGAACTACAAGAGAATACAGATAAAAAACTCAACAAAAGTCAGGAAAATAATACATGAGCAAAAGAAGATGTTCAACAAAGATATAAATTATATTTTAAATTCTGCAGCTGAAATACAATGAATGAAATGAAAAATGCAATACAGAGCTTCAACAGCAGAACTAATCAACCAGAAGAAAGAATTTGTGAACACAAAGACAAGTCATTTGAAATTATCAGTCAGAGAAGAAAAAAATGAATAAAAAGAGATTTTAAAAACTTAAAGGATTTATGGGACACCATCAAGAAAAATAATATATAGATTAAGGAAGTTACAGAAGAAGAAAGAAAGGCAAGCTATTATTTAAAGAAATAATAGCTTGAAATTCCCAAATAGGGGAGTGATATGACCATCCAGGTACATAAATCTTAATATTCAACCCAAACATGACTTTACTGAGATATGTTATAATCAAGCTGTCAAAGGGAAAATTTCGAAACCACTAAGAGAAAAGACATTCATCACATACAAGGAAACCCTTATTAGACTACCAGTGAATTTCTCAGCAGAAACCCTGCAGGCCAAGAGAGAGTGAGAGGATATATTCAAAGTGCTGAAAGAAAGAAACTGCCAACCAAGAAAACTTTACCCAGCAAGCTGTCCTTCAGAAATGAAGAGGCCAGGCAAGGTGGTTCATGCCTATAATCTCAGCACTTTCAGAGCCTGAGATGGAGGGATCACTCAAGGCCAGTAATTTGAGACCAGCGTGGGCAACAGAGTGAGACCCTGTCTCTACAAAAAATTTTAAAAATAGCTAGGTGTGGTAGATTGGGCCTGTAGTCCCAGCTACTTAGGAGGCTGAGGCAGGAGGATCATTTGAGCCCAAGAGTTCAAGACTGCAATGAGCTATGATTATGCCACTGCACCCCATCCTGGGTAACACAGAGAGACCCTCTCTGAAAAGAAAAACTAAAATGAAGGAGAGATAAAGACTTTCCCAGACAAATAAAAACTGAAGGAGTTCATTACCACTAGATCTGCCTTACAAGAAAGCTAAAAGGAGTCCTTCAAGCTGAAATAAAAGTATGGTAATTAGCAACATGAAAACCTATGAAAGTATAAAACTCACTGGTAAAGGTAAGTACATAGCCAGATTTCAAATACTCTAATACTGTGATGGCATGTAAATCACTTTTAACTCCTGGTACAAAGGTTAAAAGACAAAAGTATTAAAAATGACTATAGTGCCAGATGATTGCAGTCACTTAAAAGAAAAAAAAATAAAATAAAAAAAAAATGACTATAGGTGATAATTTGTTAATGGATACACAACATAAAAAGAAGTAAATTATGACATTAAAAACTTTAAATGGTGGGGGAAGTAAAGGTGTAAAGTTTTTATATGCAATTGAAGTTAAGTTATTAGCTTAAAATACACTGTATAACTACAAGATGTTTCATGTAAACTCTATGGTAACCACTAAGCACAAATCTCTAGTAGATACACAACAAAGAGAAAGGAATGGAATCACACTACTATAGAAAATCATCAAATCACAAAGGAACACAGCAAGAGAGGAAGAAAGGAAAAAAGGAACTATAAAAAAGTCAGAAAACGATTAACAAAATGGCAGTTTAACAAAATCCTGACCTATTAATAGCTACTTTATAGATAAATGGACTATAGGCACAGAGTGGCTCAATGGATAATAAAACAACACCCAACTACAGCCATGTGTCACTTAACAATAGAGATATGTCCTGAGAAATGCATCGTTAGGTGATTCTGTCATTGTATGAATATCGTAGAGTATACTGACACAAACCTACATGGTATAGCCCACTAAACACCTAAGCTATATGGTATAGCCTATTGCTCGTGGGCTATAGATCTATACAGCATGACACTGTAGGCAATTGCAACAAAATGTTAAATATTTGTATATCTAAACATAGAAAAGGTACAGTAAAAAAACAGTATGAAAGATTAAAAAATGGTACACTTATATAGAGCACTTACCATGAATGGAGCTTGCAGGACTGGAAGTTGCTGTGGGTGAGTCAGTGAGTAAGTGGTGAATGAATGTGAAGGCCTAGACCATTACTGTACACTACCATAGACCTTATATAAACACTGTACTCTGAGGCTACATTAAATTTATTTTAAAAATAAAGTGTGTTATGATATTAAGCAGCTAAAACATCACTAGGTAACATATAGCTATAGATACAGATAGATAGATTAGAACATTATTGAGCCTTTAAAAAGAAGGAAATGCTGCCATTTATAACAACATGGATGAACCTGGAAGACATCATGCAAAGCGAAATAAGCCAGACAAAAAAGACAAATACTGCCTGCATGATCTCACTTATAAATGAAATCTAAAAAGGTGAAACTCATAGAAATATAAAGAAATAAATGGCAGTTACCAGGGGCTTGGGGAAGGGGAAATGGGGAGATATTGGTCAAAGTGTACAAACTTCTAGTTGTAAGATGAGTGTGTTCGGAAGATCTATGTATACCACGGTGAATATCGTTAATAATACAGACTTGAAATTTGCTAAGCGAGTAGATCGTAAGTAGTCTCAATGGCAAAAAACAAAATAGGTAACTATGTGAGGTGATGGATATGTTAATTAGCTTGATTGTAATAATCATTTCACAATGTATATATTTCTCAAATCTTCATGTTTTACACACCTTAAATACATTTAATTTTTATTTGTTAATTATATTTCAATGAAACAAGAGAGAAATTCCTCTCTTTTATTAAGGCATAGAGAATCCTGGGAGCACCTTAATGTTTAACAATTGAACTCTTTCATTTTATTATACGGACAAGCAAACTGAGGCTCAGAAAAGAGAAAGATTCCCAAATGAAGTTGTTGGCAAACTGGGCCTGGAATTCTGATCTGCTGACACTCCAGGCTTGGACTTGCTGTGCAAAACACATTGTCGGAAACAGGTCAACAGAGTTCACCATATCACAGCTGGGCTGGGGATTCCAAAGGGTTCGCAAAATCACTTACTGAATGAATGAAACACAAACCAAGGAGTCACAGCTTTGTTAGCCTAGGATAAGATCTACCCACAGAAGCATTTGTTCGCTTATCAGAATATAATTTTAAATTTGCTATCAGGAAGGTTTTTGAGCAGCTAAACTTCAGATGGGCCGAATGAGAAAGAGCACAGGCTTTGCAAATGGACAGACCTGGGTTTAAAGTCCTCTCCTTGGCTGTGCCAACTTGATTCTTTGTAAACCCCCTGAGCTTCGATGTTCTCACCTATAAAATGGAGATGATAATCTTCCAGGCAAGTGAAGCTGAGGTGAGATAAGGAAGGAATGTAAAACACTGGTTCCAGGCCCTAGTCCCAGGTAGATGCTCAATAATGGGATTTATCGATTCAGTGGCATGCTGCAGGTGGCCTGCACAGGCCCATGGAAGCCAAGTGACTGTGCACATCTCCCAATTCCAAGTCCAGTGATGCTCTTGTTCGTAGCTTGAAATGGGTAGTGGTGGGAGTATTTACACCATGAAAATTAGCAAACACTACAAATCAGGACTCTTCTGAGTCACATTCAAACATTTACCAGACATTCTAGGTTACTGTTATTATTACTGAGAGTAATAACAACTCATTCACTCCAGTTAGACTCGATGCACGTCAGTTTGCCTAATTTTACTGATGTCACTTGCTCATTTCAGTCAGAACCAGCCAATTCAACAAAATGGTTAATTGGTTTACCCTCAGCCCCCATTTTCAGAAGCTATGAGCCTTGCTGGGAATTCTGTCTCACAGTGCTGCAGGGAGGGACCCAACTCCGTCCAGATGGCCCACTGGACACGTTTCCTGACGTAGCCTCTCACACACTCAGAGAAACAGGAAGACCTTACCTTGCTTGCTCCAAGCAAAAGCTGGGTCAGCAGTTCCAGGGTTCCCAGGGGTTTTCAAGAGCCCTTGTCACTGTGAGATGGTGTGTTTGTCACACACGAGCTGGTTTCTTACCCAGATCTGTCTCTGTGTGGGAGTCGGGGTCCTGTCGCTCTTCTTGAGCTCCAGGCTGCCACGTCTAGGGAAGCCCAGGGCAGGCTCATCTGGGCGGACACCTCTCCCACCCACACTTCCACCTCCACCCTGGAACATGACCCCCTTTCTGAGCCCCTCCCACACCACGCTGGTCCTCTGGTGTGCCCTATGGGAGGGACAAGGGGCGGTGAGAAGATTCCGGCTTCTTGAAAGCCTGAGGTAGTCAGCGTCCCTGGAAAAGGGAGAAGTTGCCTGGTGACCGCGCCTGGATGTCTCCCGTAGGGGCTGACCAGAAAGGGGAAGTGGTCAGGCTGGTGCTCACTGTCTCTGGGGTGCGCGAGGGCTTGTATGAGCGAGGAACGCCTCTCACCAGCTGCGCCTGAGCTGCGACATTCAGGCCACCACTGTCTCCTCAGCCACTCACATCTGGATACCTTCCATGGTTCAGGTAAGCGCCTTGACTTTCCCAGGCACAATTTCCTGTGTCCTCCACTACAGGCAGCTGCCAGTGTTGGCCTCGGGGCACGTGTCTTCGTGAGCCACCGCCTGGGCACCGGGCCAGGAGATTGTAGCCTGGGGCTCCGGTACCATCACTGGGTGGGGTTGGAGAAACACTGGCCTTGAAGAATCTGCTTGCTGGTCAGCGGCTGGGTGACCTGAGGCGACACTTCACTTCTCTGGGGCTCCGTTTCCTCACAGGTAAGTCGGGGAGATGAAGAAGCCTACCTCTCGGGCTGAACTGAGAGAGTGACAGGGAGTGAGGGGTATAAACTGCAGAGGAGTTATTCTCCTCCTCTGGATACGGACAGTGCATTTGGGGACTTGGTACGTGAAAGGACCCTCAAGGTGCTGTGCTGGAGGTTGGGGTGGGGAGCGGGGCATGGACTATGTGAACATTAGGCTACAACCTGGAGCTCTTAGATGAGAGACCTCGAACACCACCAGTCTTCGTATCTTTTCACTGCATCTCTGGCATTCAGGAATTTATAAGTCACTTTGCCTTACGGAAGCCTCAGGTCAAGGTATGTTTAGCTGACATGAGATCTCCATTGAGCCACCTGCTCTTGCCCTCTGCAGAATTATTTCTCGAGGAGACCTGCGTTCGGCTTTGCCACATCCACTTCCACTGCTTTCTGAACTCACTTGTCCCTAAGGCCACTCCCTTTCCTGGCCCCTTTGCGCACATGCACCCCTGAAGGCACATCAAAAGTGGGCACTGCTGAGCCTGGGCAACACAAGGCTTGGGAGCTTCTTTTTAGCTGTTTAGGATCTTTTCTCCCCTTCTGAAAATTTAAAAACTGCTGAGAAACAGGGAAAACAACGACCTCAAATTCCATCACCTCATAACAACCACTGTGGAGTTTAGTGCATTGCCTTCCAGTCCTTCTTTCCCTGGGTACGAATAATTTTGAGTTTTATGTTTCGAGGTTTGTTTTGATGGAAACACATTCAAAAAATGGAAATACAGACAATACTGCGTAATCGCAGCCCAGTCCCCGCCACTAGGAGAACAAGAAAAAGTAAGCAACAGCAAGAGGCAATTTGATCGGATCCAGTAAGGATTTTTGAGCTGGAAATTTGGGATAACCTTATTAGGAAGTTAAACAATCTCCAACTCTGGAAGACTCTGCTAAGGGCGAACACACCACACAGAACATTTCTGAAACATTAGGAAGTCGGCCTATTTGGAGCAGGAACCAGAAGTTCTTTTAAAGTGTGCTATATGCATTTTGAAAATGTGCTTATTTTATGCTTAACAGAAAGGCTGGGTGGTAGGGAAACAAAGAAAGAATCTACTCTTACACACTAAAAAAATCAAAATCATTTTTTCCACATTTTTTTCCAGTTGTCTCCAGCCACATAATCAGGTAATGTTATGTGAACATGTGGCTACAGCATAGACAATTTTGTATTCTGCTTTTTTCATTTTGTATGATCTCCCAATAATTCTCTCATGATATTTTCTTCCTAATTATCACTCAACTGCTGGATCCTACCCCATCAAGTAATTCTGTAATTTACTTTGTCAATCTCCCACTGTTTCACATTTAGGTAGCTCCCTGTTTATTTATACTGAGGTAAACATATTTATACATTTAGCTTTTACCTTCCTTGGATTGTTTATTAGGCTAGACTTCTAGAAATGATGCTATTGAATCAATGGACATGACCATTTTTGGAATGTATTACCATTTTCTTTCAAAAAAAAATTTTAAATCAATGTATACTGCCCCTGGCTATGCGGGAGAATCAGTTTCATCACAACTTTGACAGAATAGGACTTTATCATTATTTTTCATTTTTTGCTAGCAAATAGGTATAGTTTCTAACTGTGGACAAACGAATATGCCAGGCAAGCAATCAGCTATGATTGCTGAGCATATATGAACAGAATTTACTCCTTTAATGAAATAAACCAGACTCAAGATTAATCTGAGAGGTATGATGGTATGATCAACTATCACACTGAGAAAAGCATGTACAGTCAGCATGACTCAGCTCAGCCAAAGACCTGTACAATTTGCCCTCTCCTCCTTAGTTCTCTAGGATTTATTTTCAGAATCAACATCTTTTTTGTCAAACAATAAGTAGGAAATCAGTGCAATGCAATAGAAAATTCAGAAATATAGAATAAGGATATTATCAAAAGATACTCCATTCAAATGAGTTACCATAAACCTCTTGCTATCATCCTACATGAATAAGCTACTATTATATTCTGTCCCTTACTTCAGTATAGAGGAGTATGATTAATTTCTTAATCATAAAAAGAATGTGGGCTGATTGTAGTGGCCCAGACCTGTAATCCTAGCTCTTTGGGAGGTTGAGGTGGGAGGATCGCTTGAGGCTAGGAGTTTGAGAGCAACCTGAGCAACACAGCGAGACCCTGTCTCTACAAAAAAATTAAAAAAAATTATCCAGGCTTGGTGGTGCGTACCTACAACCCCAGCTACTCAGAGGCCGAGGCAGGCAGATCCCTTGAGCCCATGAATTTGAGGTCGCAGTGAGCTATGATGATGCCACTGCACTCTAGCTTGGGCAACACAGTGAGACTCTCTCTCTCTGTCTCACACACACACACACACACACACACAAAATAATATGATTAATTGCATGGTATTTAAAAAACCCAAATGCATAAATAAAACATCACCCACAAAGTGGCATGAACAAATATGCAAATACATTTACATATTTTCTTTAGCAACAGGTGCAATGTGGATGTGATTTATACTTAAACAATAGCATATACATGTCAACTTAACTAAAAAATTATTGGCCCAAAATACTGTTTGCCTTAACATGTATGTACATCATAGTTACTGATAACAAATTTAATTGACAAAGAAACTAAACTAATGATAATATATAATTTAAAATGAAGAATCACAGCAGCTGACCACCATGACTCCCTCAAGACCCCCTCCATAAAGACCTTACCCTGAATTGCAGGAATTCCACTCGTCCAAGGGGTGTGTGACATCAGTGATGTCACCAGGAGTTGTGTGGTGGCCAGACTTTCTGGCAGAGTATTATTTGGAGTCCTCAGCAAACTCTAGAAGCCTGCTACTTTTAGCTTAAAAACATCAAATTTTAATAGTAATTCATAATTTAAGAAATCACTGGTAAATGGTCCCTTATTTTTACATAAAAATGAAAGTTTATTATAATCACCTGTCATGTGACAGGAGAATTGAAGAAAGGATTGATTTTTTTGGATGTGTCCCAGGCCCATCCAGAGGGCCCTGTGGCTGTGGAGTGGGGGGGGGAAAGGGGGGGAAAGAGATGTACTTTGACACCCCTCCATCATCTCCCTGTCCCTCCTCCAAGCCGTCAGAATAAAAGGATTTATAGTTTTTCATGCAGAGAGTTGACATTTTCTCAATCTTATTTCAAGTGTGAATTTGTGAATTATGCATCTATGGAAAGTTTTGCAATTTTTGTTGATTTGTACCTAACACCTAAATAAAAACAAAATACTTGCTATGCAAATGCAGCTTCAAGACAACCAGATTTCGGCTCCCAAGCTCCTCCTATAGACAAACTGTGGAGCTGCCACTGCTCTGAGGCCCACTGGTGGGTCAGTCCCATACCCCGAGCATCACTGTTCTAAGCCCAAAGAGTGAGCCCAGGCCAGGAGGTGGGAAGGGCACAGGGAGTGCTTGGAGCTGCAGGTTGTCTGTGTGGCGGAGGAACACAAGGGACAGTCCCTTGTGTGGGACTGGGAGCTGATGCTGTGGGTGGGCAGAGTGCATTGGGCATGCTGAGCATTGCTGAGCTCAGACTTCACTCAGCTTCAATCATAGGAACTGCAGAGAGGCTTAAAGCAGGGAAGGGCCAGGGTTGTACTTATATTTGGCAGCCAGGACTGGGCCAGATAGGCATCCCCAGCCAGAGAAAGTGCAAGGGTCCAGGTACAGAGATAATGAGAACTTGGACTGAAGCAGGGCAGGTGATGCTGGAGAGAAAGGAATGGATCTGAAAGCCGACATGCAGGTGAAATTTCGTGGCTGACTGAAAGAGGTGGTGGGGGGAGGCGAGGGGACGGAGAGTGACAGGCAAGGTCTCCAGCCTTTCATAGCAGTGGGAGGATAGACAGGGGGAAGAGAGGCCAGGCTCTTTTCAATCACCCTGTCCTGCTCTTCTCCACGCACACGTGGGTTTTCAGTTGGCATGGGCTATCCACATGGCCATTTCTGGTGCTGACACCAGCATGGTCAGGTGGGAACATGGCCTTTCTGAGAGTGAGCAGTGACAGTCTGGGAACTAGGGATGAATGGGGGCAAGAATTCTGCATGCCGACAAGCCTAAGATCAGCTCAGACCCTCATCCCACACCTTTCCAACGTCCAAAACCCTTCCCGGGACTTCTATGGATCCCCTAGCAGGCCACCTCTTTCCCTACAGTCAGTCCTGGCTGGCAGCCTCTGCTCCTGCTGCACTGACCCCAACGCTGCTGCTTCCTTGGACCCCCAGGCCACCAAAACAAATCTGCTCACAAAGGCATGGGCAGAGGCAGCAGACTTTACTAAAAATAAAGATTGAGCAGGGTCGTTTATAACGTGTCAATGCAAACAACTGCGAACTGAAAGTAATACCGCCCTATTCTGAAAATGTCTTTGCCACCCCAGCCCTGAGTACTTTCCATCAGTTGCTCCTCCCACCTTTGCACCGTCCTGCTGGCTCCCCTTCTTTTGATCCTTCCATCCCTTCTTCTCCTAACCTTCTCCTACGTAACTGCAAATTCTCCATCTTCTATGACCCAGAGAAAGTCAACACTCCCCAGTTCCCACTAGCAAACCTCATTCCCAGGCAGCTTTGCAGACCCAGAGACGCTCTGCCGGGCACAGGCCCTTCTTACTGCTCTTGACAGCCGCTGCCCTCCTTGGAAGGCACTTGCAGTTGTAAACAGCACTTTTTTTTGGTTTGCTCTCAATAATGCCCCATGTTTGGTGATCCTCAGGGCTCTTTTGCACGCATCATCTCTCGGAAGCTTTTCAGAAGCCTGCAAGGAGGCAGGTAAGATGTTTCAGGTCTTGTTTGGGTGCAAAAGCTAGTGCCCAATCTTATATTTTCCTGGTTAGAGCTGGAACCCATACTACTAAGTGAAGTATCCCAAGAATGGAAAAACAAACACCACATATATTCACCAGCAAACTGGTATTAACTGAGCAGCACCTAAGTGGACACATAGGTACTACAGTAATAGGGTATTGGGCAAGGGGGAGAGGGGAGGGGAGCGGGTATATACATACATAATGAGTGAGATGTGAACCATCTGGGGGATGGTCATGCTGGAAACTCAGACTTGTAGGGGGTGAGGGGAAAGGGCGTTTATTCAAACCTTAAAGTCTGTACCCCCATAATATGCCGAAATAATAATAAAAAAAAAGCTAGTGCCCAGCAACGCAGGAACAAGAAACCTATTCCCTTGATGCTCAGCCCAGGGCCCTTCAGGGCTTCATTATGTGAATATGCGTGTACCTTTCACATTGTAAACTGCACTTCTTACTGAGGATCTTGGTTTAAATACTCAATAAACCCACAGTCTCAGGAAATCCTGATGAAGGATTATGTGATTTCTGCCTCTGATTCCCTAGAAATGCCTTTTGGAGAAGCGAGAGTAGGGCTAAGGTGGTTACTGCCTTTAGCTGCTCCCCCACCCACCTGCCCATTCCCTGCAGAGTGTCTTGTTCAATCTTTTCCCCTGAAACCACTCAGAAGCCACTCCCCTGCGATGGGCTCACAGATATTCCTTGAAAATGTCTTGGGCAACTAGAGCAACAGGAAGAGATGAGGAGGAAGCTGGAATCCCCCCTCCCTACACTTGCATGGCCTCTGCTTCCCAGCCAGCCTCCTGACCCCAGTGGGCAATGGCAGATGGAGAGCAGGGACCCTGCCCAAGGTCACCTCATGTCCAGGTGAGGTGGCTTTGGAGTTAAACTGCACAGTGTAGGAATTTCAGGGTCTACTACCCTGCATCATTAGAGGGGAAGTCCACTCGGAGCAGGGGAAAGAGGCTGGGGCAGCATTTGTTCATTCAAGTATTCACAGATATGTTTGTAGTGTCTACTGGGTCCCAGCTGGTGTTCTAGGCACTGGAAACATAGTGATAAAGAAAGGCAAGGGGCCAGGCGCACTGGCTCAGCCCTGTAATACTAGCACTTTGGGAGGCTGAGGCAGGAGGATCACTTGAGGCCAGGAGTTCAAGACCAGCCCGAGCAACATAGCATGAACCCCCTTCTCTACAAAATCTTTAAAAAAAAAGGAGATTAAAACAAACAAAAAAAAGGGAGACATATTTTCTCAGGACCTCTTAAGACCATGTGCTCTGGGCCTGTCACACACATTTGGCTCAGAATAAACCTCTTTAAATTATTTTACAGTCTTTTTTTCTGTTAACATAAAAAATTACAACATTTCAAGTGAAGAGTTTAAAAATAAGGTAGAGCTAAAATGTCAGATGTGAAAAATATGATTATTTACCGTCAAAATGTACTAAGGTCTTTTTATTGTTCAGAAGGATTAACTTTAGACTGTGTAAGTAAAGTGTGAGTGTCAGAAATGTACAGGTAACCACTAAAACAAACAAACAAACAAAAGATTTAGGGAGAGAGAGACAGAGAGAGAGAGAGAGAGAGAAGGGCAAGGCCCAGACTCTTATAGTGCTGACATACCAGTGTGAGACACAGACAATGAACAAAGAGAACAAATATACCAAGAGACAGTTGTCGCCGTAACAGGCCCAGTTGGAGGGAAAATGCATTTCACATATGGATCATAAATAACACAGACATTTGCAGGCTTAGTGCTGTCCCTTCATGTGGCTGAGGTGCTTCCCTCAGGAGGGGCAGGTGAGGAGAAAGGCAGGCGGCAGAAGGAAGGCATCCCTGAGCCAAATCCTGAAGACAGTGCCAGGAGAGTGGGGGAGGAGCTGGGAGGTGGAGGAGGAGTTTGTGTGGAGGAGTTTGTCTCTTCAAGCTGTCTGCCCCCAGCCTCCAGGTCATCGACTTGGCCTCCTGCTTCAGAGAAAAAGGAAGCTTCTGGGAATCAATTTTCAGCATCCTGTGCCCACACCCACAGCCTTCTCTGACTCCATTCAGCCTTTCTCTTTCTCTCTCTCTCTCTCTCTCTCTCTCTCTCTCTCTCTCTCTCTCTCTCTCTCCTCATTCCCTTTGTGTGTGTGTGGTTTTTTTCTTTCCTTTTATCTGAAGTCTTTTGCTCACATCCTTGGGCCCTTTGGAAAGCTCATTCTTCTGTCTGGGCTCAGGAGGGTATCTCCTTGCCTTCTGGGATATTCTTTTCTCTGGTTCCTGTCCTGCTTCTCTGGCTGTTCTTTCTCAACCTCCCTCGCAAGTTCCTCTTCCTCTTTTCCTTCCAGTGTGATGCATGGCTTCCCCAGGATCCCATCTCTCACTCTGGTTTTCTGGGAGTGAATGAGATTCAGTCTTTCCCGAGGGCGGGATGCTTGAGGAGAAAGGGGAGGGAGAGTACAGGAGCACCGAGCTCCCAAGCAGGGAGCATGCTCCTGGTAGGGAGAGGACAGACACCAAGCAGGGAGGACAGATACCTACACCACAGGGTCTTTTGGTCCTGTAGAAACTTCACTACTGCACCCACATTGTATTCAGCTGTAACTATCCTCCAAAGACTTGGGACAAAGATTCTGAGATGTCCCTGCTCCTGCCCGTGCCTGGTGTCTAGCACACCCAGCCAAGAGACTTTAAATGTAGTGGATGTGGGGGAGGAGGGAGAACAGAGCCTTTCTCTGGAGACTGTGGCTTGTCAGTGGTAGAATTCCAGGTAGCCCTGTACTGCGACAAGCAGACAGGAAAGGTATTTGGGTTCAAGGAGTCTTTTTCAGTGTCTTTCCCTCTGCCTAGCTCCTGCTGGTGCTATGACTATAACAGGCATAAGCATCCCATCTCATCACCTGCAGGCTGGACTCAGTGTCACTACTGAGGCCTGGGAACCACCTCGAGTGCTTCTTAAAAATGCTGATTTCTAGGCCGGGTGCTGTGGCTCACTCCTGTAATCCTAGCACTCTAGGAGGCCAAGGCGGGCGGATTGCTCGAGGTCAGGAGTTTGAAACCAGCCTGAGCAAGAGCGAGACCCCGTCTCTACTATAAATAGAAAGAAATTAATTGGCTAACTAACATATATACAGAAAAAATTAGCCGGGCATGGTGGTGCATGCCTGTAGTCCCAGCTACTCGGGAGGCTGAGGCAGCAGGATTGCTTGAGCCCAGGAGTTTGAGGTTGCTGTGAGCTAGGCTGACGCCACGGCACTCACTCTAGCCTGGGCAACAAAGTGAGACTCTGCCCGCCCCCCCCCCCAAAAAAATGCTGATTCCTATGTCCCACACCAGACCTATTTATCAGAATTGGGACTTCAGTGGGGACATAGAACCCTGTATTAAAATGCATTTCAATCCATTTCCCAGGCAATTCAAACGTAACATTTGACAAGCCCTGATTTGATGGTCACAAGTTAAGGCCCTAGAGTCACACAGACCTGGGTTTGGCTGTGATTTTTCCACTGACTAGCTCTGCAATCTTAGGCAAATTATTGAGCACTTCTAAGCCTCTGTTTTCTCATCTGTGAAACGGCATAATAATAATAATTACCTACCTCTATAGAGCTTTCATGAGGACTAAATAAGCTGGGGTATGTAAAGTGGTTAGAACTCGTGGTAAGTCAGCGCGAAATGCCTGCTAGTTTTTAAAGCGCACTTCCATACTGAGGTTTTCATTATGTGGAAGAAGTCACAGCTAATGACTAAGGTCTTGCCAATATTGGAAGTTCTTGAACCATGGTTCTGCTTTCAGTTCTGTTTTGAAAAGAAAGATTTGTCAGCTTGGCGCCAGCACAGCAAAGAGAGCGAGGACTCATCAGACTGGACTGAGCTGGACTCTCAGGTTAGTCAATTACTAGCTGTGTAGCCTTTAGCAAACTTCTTAACCCCTCTGAATTCTATTTCCGTATCTGTAAAATGGGAGTAACGATAGCTGGACCCCTTGAAAAGTTATAATGAGGACTAAGTGATAACACGTATGTCAGTGGTTCTCAACCTTGGCTTTATATTAGAATCATCTGAAGAGCTTTATAATACAAGCAAACAAACGAAGCCAAGTGCAGTGGTGCATGCCAATAGTCCCAGATACTCAGGAGGCTGGGAGGATCGCTTGAGCCCAGGAGTTTAGGGCCAGCCTGGGCAGCATAGCAAGACACCATCTCTAGAAAAAATTTGAAAATTAGCTGGGCATGGTGGTGCACACCTGTAGTCCTAGCTATTTGGAAGGTTGAGGCAGGAGCAACGCTTGAGCCAAGGAGTTCGCCATTGCAGTGAGCTGAGATAGTCACACCAGTGCACTCCAGCCTGGTCACCAGAGTGAGACCCTGTCTCTTAAAAAAAAAAAAAACAAAAAAGAGTAAGGAAATAGATTCTCCCGTATGAGCCTCCAGGGAGACACAGCCTTGCCAGCACTTTGATTTTAGCCCAGCCAGACTTTCCTTGGACTTCTGAACCCAGAACTGTATGATAATAAATTTGAGTTATTTCATGCCACTAAGTATGTAGTGATTTGTTAGAGCAGCCCTAGGAAATGGGTTACTTTAGATTATTAAGCAGACTCATTTCAGTTTTTAAAATTCAGTCATGCTCATTTTGAAACTTAAATCGAAGCTTTACCCTTTGCCCCAGTGAGGGACGTGGGAAGAGGGGTGGAGGCTGCCCAGGTGTCTCAGCAACCCCTTCCCTGCACTTACTTCCCTGGGGTTGGATTGAGGAGGAAAGAGGGAGACAAACAATTTTCCATGGCAAGTCTCCCTTCAGTGGGCCATTACTGAGGGTCTGATTTGTGTGGGGGAGGGGCTCCCAACCTGCCCACCCATGAGGGACTCAACCCCTGGTCCTCGAGGGGTCTCTGTGGTGCCTTGAGAGATGCAGCTGCATCTTTGGGCTGCTTCTCAGCATCCTCTCATGCAAGCATTTCACTGCCATCCTAGCTCTCAGCGATCCTGCACCCACAATCTTCCTGACCCTCTGCGGCCCCAATTCCAGGCCTGCCGGCAAGGATAGGATCCAACTTCCTTACCTTCCCAGGGTCGAACTTGACTGTGCAGCCATGGTGCACCCCTCACTGGCTTCCCCAGGGCTGGTCTCCCTTCTCTGGAAGCACCTTGGCCATTAAACTGGACTGTTGGCCTAGAGGACATCTCACTGGAAGTGGGGTGTGATTCTCTTGGGCCCCCGCTCTCAGCTGTATGCTCCCCAAAAGACAAACTTTTCTTAATTCTGTTGAAAAGGCATCTCTCAACAGTCTTTGGAGCAGGGGCTGACCCAGTGCTATTTCTCTGGTCTTAGAATATGGGGAACTTGGGACTCTTACTCTCAATGGTGGGCCCTGATCATTCATTCTGGGGGATCTCCTATGACCCCACCGTATCTCTGCCATAGCAATGCTCCTTCTAAAGCAAGTTATCCTGAGCCCTGCTTGGCCTTTCCTTGATGACTCAGGGGCTTCATTACCAACACCAGCAGAGGAAGGCCCTGTGACAAGGAGAGAAAGCATTTGGGCCTCCATCCTTCCAGGGGGACCTTGGTAGGTCACTGACCTCAGCCCTGGCTCCCTATCTGGGGAGCGGGGTGATGGCTGAGGGTGAACTGAGGGGAGAGTTGGGAAAGCACACAGCAGACTGCTAAGACTGCATTGAACACGCTCAAAACATCCAATGGCAAATCAAATCCATTTCATTTATAAGAATAAAACTGAAAAAAATATATACTTATCACTCTGAGCAGTTCTGAAAATGACCCATAGTTTCACTTTCTGACAACATCATTCCACTTCCTTTTTCTTTCCCAGGAAGCTGATGAGAATGAAATTTCTTTGGCCTTGAAACCTAAGCAGTAGTTTTTCTTGGCAACTACACGACATGGTCGACTGATTCTTTTCAATTTTATCAAAGTAAACGCACATAGTTCAAAAATCAAGTAATGCAGAGGGTCTTTTAATAAAAAGTGACAACCCCTGTCTTCTCACCCCATCCTTCCACCAAGGCATGCTTCTCAGATACAACAGCTATTTTTTTTTTTTTGGAGCCAGAGTGTCACTCTGTTGCCCCGGGTAGAGTGCAATGGTATCATCATAGCTCACTGCAACCTCAAACTCCTGGACTCAAGCCATCCTCCTGCCTCAGCCTCCTGAATAGCTGGGATTTCAGGCGTCCACCATGACACCCCGCTAATTTTTCTATTTTTAGTAGAGACAGGGTCTCACTCGTGCTCAGGTTGGTCTTGAACTCCAGAGCTCAAGTGATCCTCCTGCCTCAGCCTCCCAGAGTCAGATACAACAGCTTTGAAGGTGCATGTCCTGCTGTTTACTTCTGTAGCTCTAAAGGGTATGTTGATGTTGCTTTTGGGAGAAATTCTTGAAAAGTAAAACAAGAAGATAAAGAGATAACAAGTGGGAGAGGAGAGATAAACAGAAAACCAGGAGTCAAACATTTGAATAAAGGGAAAAGAATTGAGAAAGCAAAGGGAAGGAAATTCTATCTATCTATCTATTTATCTATCTATCTATCCATCCATCCACCCACCTGGTTCCTCAGGGCTAAAGAAGGCAAGATTCTAATTTTATGTTTGTTGAACAAAGATTCTGCCTTCTGATATGTGCCTCTTTTTAAATCCAGTGTTCTTTCGATCTCACTGGGCCCTGTAAAACTAATGTCACAGCCCCTCCTGAGGGCTAATGCCCAGTCTCCACTTCTTTCCTTTCCCCCTTGCTTCTTCTTTCTCTATCGCTCTCCTGTGTGCATCCTGAAAAGATGATCTTCCACAAATCTCTGGGTTTTGTTTGCGGATTGCCTAGGGGGTGAGCTGACACTTGGCTCTCTTAAGAGGAAATCCCCAGTACACCATGGATAAACCACAAAAGCATCCTGTTGAGCAAAACAATAAGCTGCAGAATGATGTGTTTAGAAGAGCAGTAGTTACACATTATTGGTTTCACCGCATATAACTTTATCGATAGTCAAAGAACATTATATTTGATCAAGCCAAAATTTCAGCAAAGAAATGAAACTGAAACTGAAAATCCAAGTCATAATAACTTAATTAATGAAGACACTACATCAGTAATGCAAACACATTTGAAACATTTCAGCCAAGTTAGAAGGTCATTTCAATTATAATGGCTTTAGCAGCAGCCTGATTCTACTGCCTTCCTAGGTCCCTTTTTAAATCACTAATATTACTGAAAAGCAGGAATCTGAAGTGACACTGTTTGAACATGCATGCCGCAACCAGGATTCCAGAACCTCTCCCAAAGATCTCTCAAGGATCATTTTTACTTTAATATCCAAATAAAATGGCCAAGTGCCCATTGCATGGATGAAGAGAGCCCAGCCCTCCACAAGATCTCCCTGAATTCCTGGGGGCTACTCAATTAATTAGTCCACCCTGCAGCCTGCACTCCACTGTCACTCAGAACCTAGTAGTTGCTGTTCTTGCTACTTGCCCACATGTCACCCCTGGCTTGGAAAACCACTGCACACATGTCATTCCCCCCAGGCTCTGCTCATACAAGCCTGTGTGTGTTGTACAGTTTTATTGAAGGTTTGGTGGTAACAGGAAGTTACAACACAGCATAATGCAGGCAGCAGTTTAGGACTGCATATTAGACAGCACTGCCCTGTAACTGCATGTGGGGCTTCCTAACCATGCTCTGATTCACTGCTCTCTTCTCAACCTCTCCTTCAGCTACTAACCTCTTCCAAGACTCTCCTTTCTAGTCTGCCAGCCTTGGGCCCCCAAATTCCCGTTACTTTTTTTGTGTTTGCTTGCTCTGTCTTCAGCTTCACCCTTCTTACCTTCCCTCACTCAAGAGACTCATCAAGGTATTTTTCTACTCCATGAAATAAAGCTCTCAAAATTCTCTCTCCCCTGTTATGAATTAAGTCTGTCTTGCCCTTATGATATAAAAAAAAAAAACACTGCAGTCAACTACTGGGGTTTTGAGGATTTTTTTTTTGTTTGTTTGGTTTGGTTTGGTTTGGTTTTTTGAGACAGGGTTTTTGCTCTGTTGCCCAGGCTGGAGTGCAGTGGTGCGATCATAGCTCACTGTAAGCTTGAATTCCTGGGCTTAAGCAATCCTCCCAGCTCAGCCTCCCAAGCAGCTGGGACTACAGCTGCACAGCCACCACACCTGGCTAATTTTTAATTTTTTTATAGAGATGGGGTCTTACTATGCTGCCCAGGCTGGTCTTGAATTCCTGGCCTCAAGTGATCCTCCTGCCTCAGTCTACCAAAGTGCTGGATTACAGCCAGGAACCACAGCACCCAGCCCAATTACTGTGTTAAATGTTACTTCCCCTTCCTGCTGCACATTCAGTGATGTAAGAAAAAGTGATGGTTGTGTCTACTATTTTTAGAGAACCTAGTAGGCATATGTCTCTAATCCTCACGAACCTCTATGAAGTAGTAGACAATATCATGACTGTATTATAGACAGGGACGCTGAGGCTCAGAGAAGGTTAAGAGACTTGCCTGCAGTCCCCTAGCTGCTAATCGGTAGGGTTTGACTATGGACCGGTGCCTGGCTGACTCCTAAGCAGATGTCTGCATTTCCACACAACATGGTAGATAACTGCCCCTCTGTGAGATGCCACCCATCCATGCCTCTTTCTTCTATCTCCCTTCTTCTCAGGATTCCCCTGCAATGAGTTGGTGGGAGACCAATTTCTGGATCATCTTAGCTGTCGCCATGATCATTGTCTCCGTGGGCCTGGGCCTCATCCTGTTCTGTGTCTGCAGGTGGCATTTTAGACAAGGTAATGGTCACCATCTCACCTGGGTGGGGGTGGAGGGACAGGGGACAAGAAGGTTATCAGTACTGCAAAGCTTCTTTAGGGCAAGAAGATTAGTTCCGGGCCTGTATGCGCTGAGTTTGGATTAAGCATGCATTTCGGGTTTGAGTCCTAGGCCCACTACTAACTTATGTCTCTAGGCCTCTGTTTACCCATCTGCACAGTGAAAGGAGGGAAGTTAACTAATCTCTATGAACCCTTCCAGCCCTAAGGGTGTGGGTGAAAACAATCTGTTTCAAGGCACAATATGCTCAAGTGCTTTCTCTTTGCTATGTGGCTGTTGATCTCAGCATCTTGTCGCTGGGGCTTGCAAGAGAACACACATCTGTGGAAAGTCAAGAACTGTCTTGAGGAATGAAATAGGGACGTGTCTCATGACCAGTGTGTTTGGCCACCATGATTGCCTTTCTCCAAGATCACACTCGGAATTTTCTGCTATTATCCCCACCTAGACTAGAAACCTCTTGGTATCCTCAGACATAAAAAAAGCAGCCACCTGGGGATTAACACTAACTTTAGATTATCTACAAGTAGATTTTCCACATTGTTGTTCATCTTCAGAAACAGGAACTCCTTGATCCGATGGTGTGCTGGTATATTGTCTTGAGATTTCATCCTTTTAAATAATGACCTAAGCCAGGAGTGTACCTGGGGATGGTGAATATTCTGACAGGTACAGCCACCTGCCCATGGGGTACCTAAGGCGGGCCTCTCTCAATGATTGTCTTCCCCACTGCCTCTGGACACAGCCCCCAAATCCTGCTTAACCCAATGCAGAAAGGTCAGGGCTACACAAGAAGTGAAATCGTTTTGGCATTCTTCTCAATCTCTGGTTAGAGATAAGAAAATTAAGGTTCAGAGGGAGACAGGATCTTAATCAAGGTGCCAAAAGAGTTGGTAGCAGAGTTGAGACCAGAACTCAAGTCTACGGGGCTCCCAGTTCAATGCTCTCTTCCCTCTACCCCTTAATCATAATTAATTTTTTTTTTTTTGAGACAGAGTCTCACTTTGTTGCTCAGGCTAGAGTGAGTGCTGTGGCATCAGCCTAGCTCACAGCAACCTCAAACTCCTGGGCCCAAGCAATCCTACTGTCTCAGCCTCCCGAGTAGCTGGGACTACAGGCATGCACCATCATGCCTGGCTAATTTTTTCTATATATATGTTAGTTGGCCAATTAATTTCTTTCTATTTATAGTAGAGACGGGGTCTTGCTCTTGCTCAGGCTGGTTTCAAACTTCTGACCTTGAGCCATCCACCCGCCTCGGCCTCCCAGAGTGCTAGGATTACAGGCGTGAGCCACATAATTAATTTTTTTTTTAATACAAAAAGTATCCTGAGTCCCTACACTCCTGAATCCATTTGCCTTCTTAAAACTTTTCATTTTCAGATATGGAAAAAAATATGACCCCGAACAAAATTTTTATCTACTCTCTTTTATCTTGAACCATTCCCATTAACAAGCAAGCTATAATTAATAATAACTTGTATGTCCAGCACATTACAGTTTACAAACTACTGTTCCCATTCTTGATCTCATTTCCTCACAATCACACTTTTGGCTATTCATTCAGCCGACACTTCTGAGTGCCAAGTGAGCGCCAGGCATAGTACTAGGCAATAAGGAAATAAACACGGCCCAAATGCTTGCTGCCCTCCCCAGTCAACACACGCACTCTGTGGTCAGAAGGTCTGGGTTCAAAGTTCACCTCTACAACTTATCAGTTCTGTATTCCTAAGTCTGTTTTCTCTAGGTAGTCCTTCTTTCAAATGTCCTGGACCTGCCTGTTCTCTGAGGACTTCCAAACTCCAAAATCACAACTCTGCTAATTCTTTCTAAATGATTACGCTTCCTCCCCTCCCCCGTAGGTAAGAAATGGGAAATCGCCAAGCCCTTGAAACAGAACAAAACAGAGGAAGAAAAGATGTATGAGTAAGTGGGGATAAATCCTTCTGCTTTTCACCTTTGAGAACAACCTGTTTACTTCCCCTCTTGGCTTCACTACTGTACTGCCCACTTTTCCTGTGGAGCTGGCAAAATGTCCTGTCTGTCGACTCTCCCCACGTAAGGGCAGAGGCCTCGGGACATCATGAGAGCAGAGCATCATCTGGTGCTCTCTGCTCTCCAAGTCATCCCTCGTCTGGTCTATTCCAACAAAGGTCACAGGTTGGGTCTATGTTCTGGGTCTGCCATCTAGGCCATACTTCTTGTCTTTAGATGGATCCCAAGCATAATAGCCCTCTGAAAGCTATTGTGTTGAACTAAAACACGCCATGCACTTTACTTTTGTATTTTGTGATATATTTGGGGCTTTATGGTTACCATCTGTGCTGGGCATCACCAAGACCACCCTTAGGCTTGAGAATTCACTGGAAGGACTAACAGGACCCAGATACTCATGGTTATACTCATGGTTACAGTTTATTACAGCCAAAGGATGCAGATTAAAACCAGCAAAGGAAAAAGATGCATGGGGTGAAGTCTGGGAGAAACCAGGCACAAGCTTCCAGGTGTCATCTCCCAGTGGGGTCTCATAGGTAGCCTTAATTCTTCTCCCAGCAGTGATGAGTGACAATGTATGTGAAGCATTGCCGACCAGAGAAGCTCCCGGAGGCTTGGTGTCCAGGGATTTCATTTCTTTGGGGGTTAGTCATGTAGGCATGGAACACCTGTATTTAGCTATTCAACCCCCAGACCCTCTATGGATATCAAATTGATACAGTATGCTCCAGGGTTCCAGGGGTTCACCATAAATCACGTTATTAGCATAAACTATCTGGTACAGCCCAAAGCCCCAGTTATATAAAGATACTCTTATCAAGCAGGATATTTCGAGTTTAGAGATTATTTATCTCCCAGGAGCCAGACAAGATCCAATCCTTTCTTTGAAATATATGCACTACCTAAAACAAGACTAAGCTTTTCTAAAATGGCTTTTGTTGCAGCTCCAGGGGCCCGGCAAATAAGATCTCCTGCCCACTAATTCTGATCCCCTTGAGGAGTAAGAAAGATGTATAAGGTAGCTAGGTGACCAAAATATTGCCTTCATTAAGAATAAAAGTAGTGGCCGGCCCAGTGGCTCACGCCTGTAATCCTAACACTCTAGGAGGCCAAGGCAGGTGTCTCGCTCAAGGTCAGGAGTTTGAAACCAGCCTAACTAAGCAAGAGTGAGACCCTGTCTCTACTATAAATAGAAAGAAATCAATTGGCCAGCTAAAAATATATAGAAAAAAATTAGTCAGGCATGGTGGCACATGCCTGTAGTTCCAACTACTCGGGAGGCTGAGGCAGAAGGATTGCTTGAGCCCAGGAGTTTGAGGTTGCTGTGAGCTAAGCTGATGTCACAGCACTCTAGTCCGGGCAACAGAGTGAAACTCTGTCTCAAAAAAAAAAAAATAAAATAAAATAAATAAATAAATAAATAAATAAATAAAAGTGGCATGGCAGAATGTGGCTCTTCTCTGTGGGCAAGTGAGTACCCTAATTATGAACTGGGAAAACTTTCTTCCCCAGTTCACAGGCAGGAAAACCTCAGGTCTCCCCAACAGTGCAGGCCACTTCCTCTGAACGGCAAAGAAAAGAGAAGGGTTTGTGATTTCTGCAGTGAGCCTGCTCTGGAGGAGAAAGTGAGAGGAGCTGGTTTTTTGCCAAATTTAGCAGTCAGATGAATTGCCTTCCTCCCCCAGGAAGAGCTATGGAGAGGTGGAGTGAGCCAATGATGGAGCTCTTGCCACATGTCCCCTTCTGCACTCACCCCAACGACCTAAAGATTTTTATGCAATCCCAGCAGGACTTTGTCACCTATAGGAGTCAAGTCAGTGCACCTAGGGGAATGGAGGTCTAGGTAAGGGAAGCTTTTCATAAAACTTCTTACTGAAGTATAATAGGAATACAGAAAAGTACATAGTAAGTGTACAACTTGATGAATTTCCACAAACTGAGCAGACCCAGGTAGCTGGCACCTAGATTAAGAAACAGGATATTACCAACGCTTCAGATGTTTACTTTTTACACCCCAAAGGTAACCACTATTTATAATAGCGTAAGTTAGTTTTGTCTTGTTTTTAACCTTTATGTGAATGGAATCATACAGTGTGTAGTGCATATTATTTGGTGTTTGGCTTCTTTTGCTCAACACTATTTTTATGAAATTCACTGTGTGTAGTAGTAGATTATTCATTCTCGCTGCTATAGCGTAGAGTGGGAGTATACCATGACTGATTCATCCATTCTACTGCTTATGGGCATTTGGGTGGTGGGATAGTTTTTTCTGTCTCTGATTCTCTGGAGAACCCAAACTAACACAGGTAGTGTCCAGTCTCGGGATGTTATGAATATTGCTGCTCTGAACATTCTAGTGCACATGTTTTGGTGAACATACACAAGCATTTCAGTAGGGTATAGACCCAGTAGTGGGATTGCTATCTCAGGGTGTGTGTACATTCAGCTTCAGGAGTACATCTGTTTTGCAAACAGAAGTACATCTGGTACCTACCTCCATCTCCTAATCCAGCTCAGGTGAATGCAGTAAGGTATGATCCATGCACTGGGCTATAGCACTTCAACCCTCTTCCCTCAATTGCAGTCATTCCCTGGGCTAGAGGAAATGGTTTCTTTAGGGTGCCAGTTACAAATGGTAGGGAGGACCTAGAAAGAGAAGGAAATGCTTCCAATTTGTACAGACAATATTTGAATGTCCAACTCATTCACTTTCCTTAATGTTTTCTTTTAAATCTGCTGACAACAGGCTTGGTCCAAATCAAACACTGACTCCCTCTCTTTCCCTCTCTCCAGGAATGTTCACAACGAATCGCCAGTACATTTGCCCCCTCTGCCACCCAGGGGTTTGCTTTCTTCAGAAGACTCCTGTAAGTATATTTTGCTGATAACAGTTTCATTTAGGGTAAGATAACACATTTACCTAGGTATCTTAGTCAACTCAGGCTGCCATAACAAAAATACCATAAACTGGGTGGCTTGAACAATAGAAATGTATTTTCTCATGGGCCTGGAGGCTGGACACTCGAGATCAGGGTGCTGGCTGATTTGATCTTCCTGGCTTGCAGACAGCTAGCTGCCTTCTTCCTATATCCTTACATGACCTCTCCTCTATGCGTTCGAGCTGGGGAAGAGAATGGGACAGCCAGCTCTCTGGTGTTTCTTCTTACAAGGACACTAATCCCACTGGATCAGGGGCCCACCCTTAAGACCAAATATAGCCACACGGGCGGTTAGGGCTTCCACATATGAATCTGGGGGAGACACACTCACTCTGTGACACTAAGATTTATAGATGCAGCATCCTGTTTAAAAGAGAAGAATAAGTGTAAAAGGGGCAGAATAAGTACCAATGTTAAGCAAAAAGGAACTTGGGGCTGTCACTGGGCCTCTCAGTTATTATGTGAAAAATTCTGCCTGGTTCCTTTGACTGAAACGTTCTTCCTTAAGTTCTTTGCACAGCTGGCTTTGCCTCATCCTTCAGGTGTCAGCTCGAAAGTCACCACCTCAAAGAGGCCTTCCTGGACCACCGTATCTAAAGTAGCCCTGCTGATTTCCTTTATGAGATTTATGGCAGTGATCTAAAATGGTCTTGTTTAGTTACTGTTCATTTGTTTGGTATCTATCGCCTCCACTGGAATATAAACTCCAAGAAAACAGAAACTTTTCTTGTTTTGTTCACCGCTATTTATCTGACACCTGGCACAGTGACTGGAGCTTAGTAAGTACTTAAGAAAAATGTTTTAATTGAATGGATAAATAATATTAGCTAACATTTATTGAGCATGCACTGTGTTTCAGGCCCCATGCTAGGCACTTTACAGGCATGATCTCTTTTAATCCTCACAACAACTCTATGAGGCAGGTACATTTTGATCCCCCTTGGACAGATGAGGACAGTAAGGCACAGAGAAGTTAAGTGACTTAACCATGGTACACAGCTAGTGACTTCTGAAGCCTGAACATAAAGTTGGATCTGTTTAACTGCAGAGTTCTTCAGGAAAATGAAATGGAGGTAGTATTTCAGGTTCTCTTGGGAAAAGATGAGATTATGGTAGAGGCAGTTCCAATCCCTATCGAAGGGGGAGTTGAGCTGTTTCATCATCTTTCCTTTTGCTATGAACCCATTCTGCACTAATTTCACCTTCCGAAAACACCGTTGTTCCCTTCCTTCTTAGTAGAGAGATCTGTGTGCATGAGCAATTATGGACAGTCCTGGAAAACAGTGTAAGTCATTGGGATGGATGTGCCAAAAAGAAAATATAGTTAGTTGCACTTCCTTGTGAGAATTAGGATCTGTAGACACAATAGTACTCATCTGGATACTGACTCTGGTTGGTTCCTTTTCTAAGTTTGCTTCATGGTTCCCACGCAGAGCAGTCTTAGGCAGAGAGACACGGGAGTCAAGATATCTGACTAATATTTGCCATTACTCACTTGGGTGGTCCTGAGACTGCATTATGTCTGTGTCTAAGTTTCATCTGTAAAATGGGGATCTGGCCCACTGAAACACATGAAAATCATGAAAATCATGCTGAGTACCTTTTTTTTTTTTTTTTGAGACAGAGTCTCGCTTGTTGCACAGGCTAGAGTGAGTGCCGTGGCGTCAGCCTAGCTCACAGCAACCTCAAACTCCTGGGCTCAAGCAATCCTGCTGCCTCAGCCTCCCGAGTAGCTGGGACTACAGGCATGCGCCACCATGCCCGGCTAATTTTCTATATATATTAGTTGGCCAATTAATTTCTTTCTATTTATAGTAGAGACGGGGTCTCGCTCTTGCTCAGGCTGGTTTCGAACTCCTGACCTTGAGCAATCCGCCCGCCTCAGCCTCCCAGAGTGCTAGGATTACAGGCGTGAGCCACCGCGCCCGGCTGAGTACCTTTTTACTCTTTCTTTTCCTTCCTTCCTTCCTTCCTTCCTTCCTTCCTTTTCCATCTTTTCTTTTCCCTCTTTCCTTTTTTTGAGACAGGGTCTCACTCTGTCACCCAGACTGGAGCTCGCTGCAACCTCCAACTCCTGGGATCAAGTGGCCTAAGTCTTCCAAGTAGCTAGGACTATAGGCATGCAACACCACGCCCAGCTAATTTTTTAATTTTTTGTAGAGACAGGGTCTTACCGTGTTGCCCAGGCTGGTATCAAACTCATGGCCTCAATTGATCCTCCCATCTCAGCCTCCCAAAGTGATGACAGGCGTGAGCCACCGTGTCTGGCCTCTAAGCATCTTTTCGTGTCTTCCAGCCCCACAGGAAACCCAAAGTCAGCCACCAGCTACCTACTCCTTGATAAGTAAAGTTAAAAATAAGCAGACTGTTTCCATCCCGAGCTATATTGAGCCTGAAGATGACTATGACGATGTTGAGATGCCTGCAAATACTGAAAACCGTCATTTTGAAACAACCATTTCTTCTTTTTGGCAAGCCGAAGATGGTTCACACAGCTTATTTTAAAACAATCAGGATGGTTCGACTTCAATACATCTCCAGGTCCCGAAAGCCAGTGGGAATTTATGAAGCTCTCTAAGACAAGGCACTTCCTAAACATTATTTGAAGATACCTTAGCGATCAGATGACTGCAGCCAGAGGAAAGATGCGGATGCTCAGCCGTGAGGACTAAGAGGGGTCAGCCCCCATGCTTCTGTTGAGGAAGTGTCCATGGGGAGGACCACAGGGCTCCACAGCTCCCACCTGCAAGAAATGACTCATGTTTGGGAACTCTTTCCCTTTCGTTCCCCTGGTTTGCATGGTTCTAAGTGATCTTAAGTCTCGGAGTTTGATTGTGCAGAGCCTCCCAGGCTTCCATCCCCACCCAGGCCCTCGCCAAGCACGCTGGTCTTCCCTCCCCCTACCCACCCCCCCACCTACCTCCTGCACCAAGAGGCTCTGGGGTGGCAGTTACAGCTGAGTGCTCTTGTGTGCAAGTCCCCACACCACACCTTGTGAGTTTGCAGGAACAGGGAGTACTTTTTGTTCTTGTGACCTCCCCCACACCTGCACACACCCCAAACCCCCGTACCTTTATATGATGTAGGCCAAACCAACCAGAGATTTAAGCTCTGACCTAGGTTTTTTCCTATGCTTACGGGCTGCACTTTAATGATCAATAAAGGACAAAAGTTACCTTCTGATTTACACCTGGAGATGTCGTTTTGCAGTAGGTGTGTTGGGGGGGGGGCTACAGGAAAAGTAGGTTCCCCCAGGAAGAAAATCAAAGGGATTAGGAAAGAAAGGGGCCATTTAGTGTCATATTCAAGATGAGAGTTTAGGAGACTTAACATCCCCTTTCCATAATTTTCATTATTACTTCTCCCTTTACACAGAGTTCTATGAAAACAGCCTCAAGCCCCTTCCTTCCAGATCACTGTCCCTGAGCATCTGGGAGGCAGGAAGTCGTGTGATGTGCTGCAGCCAGAGAGACGCAGGGCAGTGAGCTGCTGTCCTGTTAAACAATTGCCCCAGAGGCCCAGGTCAGCTTTGTAGGGTCCTAGACCTCATCAGTCCCTTCTAGTTGATCAGCTAGACTTGACTCACCCTAGCCATACTCCCAAGATGCTGAGTTCTAAGCAATATCTGGGAAGTTTGGTCAATGAGCGGGCTTGCAGAGAGAACACCACGAACCTAGACAGCCCTGATAGTGCCCTCCCTGTACCAGGCTCCTTCTCAAGAGAGGGGAACTTGGGTTCCTGCCACATTCAAGCTTTCCCACTCAACCAATGCTGGAACAGTGGCTTCCTCCCTGGTTCTCTCTTTCTAGACTCTGTGAAGACTTCCAGCTTTCAGTTAATACCTCTTCATTGTAGGCCAGTGGTTCATTCTCTAACTATATAGCCTTATGCAACTCTGGTATCCCATGAGCTAAAGAGGACTCTTTTCCTGAATTATAGAAGAAAACAAGTCAAAGGATGGAAATGTTTGAAACACATGCCTTCCTCTTATAAATTTTCTGTAAACCCTCCAAAAAATACCACACAAATGTTAACTCTTCCTTGCTTTCTGGGATTCCAGACTCTCCTGGTTCTCCTCCTATATATCTGGCCTATCTCAGTCTCGTCTGTGCCCGCCCCCCTCTGTGAAGCATCTCTTTCATGCTGCTCTTCTTGGGTTCCATCCTCATTCCTGCTCTCACCTTGCTCTAAACACTCACAAGCGACCAGGTGCAGTGGCTCACGCCTGTAATCCTAGCACTCTGGCAGGCCAAGGCAGGAGGATTGCTTGAGGCCAGGAATTCGAGACCAGCCTGAGCAAGAGTGAGACACTATTTCTACAGAAAATTTAAACATTAGCCAGGCATGGTGGTGTGCACCTTTAGTCCCAGCTACTCAGGAGGCTGAGGCAGGAGGATCACTTGAGCCCAGGAGTTTGAGTTTGCAGTGAGCTATCATCATAGTGCCACTGCACTCTAGCCTGGGCAACAGATATATAAATAATATATATAAATAAATAAATGAAAAATAAACACAAGTGATCTCACCCATGCTCATGGACTTGAGATAGGGAACAGGCAGGTCCTCCTCAATAAGAAGTCACAAGACCTGAACCAAGGTCTCTAATAAAACAGGAGGTGGTGGAAAAGTGGGCCAAGACCAGCTAGAACCAAGATGCCCATGAAAAACGACCTCATGTTACCCTCACTGCTCATTACACTGTTTATACTATATGAGCAACCTAAGGGAAACTCCCCCCAGCCCTGACAGTTTACAAATGCCACGGCCACTCCTGGAAGTGACCCTATATGGTTTAAAAAGAGGAAAAAAAACCCTCAGTTCCAGGAACTACCCATCTCTTTTCCGGAAATCTTACGAATAATCCTCCTTCCACTTAACATAAAATTATATAGAAGGTATAAAGTTAGATAGAAGGTATAAAATGAGACTGCAGAAACTCACAGAGGGCTATTCTCTGTTGCTCCGAGAGATAGCTGCTGCTCTATCTATGGGGCAGCCTCCCTCTTTCTCTTTTCTTACTTCAGTAAACTTGCTTTTGCCTTACCCTGTTAGCTTGCTCTTGCGTTCTTTCCTGCTCAAAGCTGAGAACCCACTTGGCCTTCAGGCCAGACCCCAGTTTTGGGGTCCACTTTCCCGTGTTAGGCTCGGTGGCTCCCTCTATTCTGATGACTTCCAGACTGCAGGCTCCAGCAGAGCTCTCTCTGCCCACTTCCGGGCTGGACGGCCTCCGGGACATCTCCATGTGACTGTCCCACAGGCCCCTGGAGTTCGACATATGCCCAAAGGAACTGATTACCCCTCCCCAATTTCTAAGTTTTTAAGCCTTACCGTCTTCTTAGTTGCTAAAGTCAGAAACTAAACTAACCTTCCTCTCGGCCCTTTGTTTCTAACGTTCCCTGACTTCTGTTCATTGAGCCTCCCAAGTAGCTCTCCAGTCACTCCGTCTTTCTCCATCACCATTCTGAGGTCAGGCCATTGCCAGTGCTTTCCAAGAGAACATCAACAGCCTTCTAAATGGTCTGCCTCTGGCATCTCCCTCTCCGATCCACTTTCTACATGGCAGCCAGTGATTTTCTAAAATGAACATCTGACACTTTATTCCCTTGCTTAAATCTCTTCTTTGCCTATTAACCTCAAAAAAAAAAAGCCCAAACTCCTTAACATGGCCTATAAGTTTTGTCAAGATCTGGTCACTAGGCCAGGAGCGGTGGCTCACGCCTATAATCCTAGCACTCTGGGAGGCCAAGGTGGGTGGATTGCTCGAGGTCAGGAGTTCAAAACAAGCCTGAGCCAGAGCAGGACCCTGTCTCTACTATAAATAGAAAGAAATTAATTGGCCAACTAATATATATAGAAAAAATTAGCCGGGCATGGTGGTGCATGCCTGTAGTCCCAGCTACTAGGGAGGCTGAGGCAGGAGGATTGCTTGAGCCCAGGAGTTTGAGGTTGCTGTGAGCTAGGCTGATGCCATGGCACTCACTCTAGCCTGAGCAACAAAGTGAGACTGTCTCAAAAGAAAAACTAAAAACGATCTGGTCACTGGTTATCTTTTGCCAACTCCTTCTCACCCTACCCCCTTGCAAGCACCACTCTGCCCAAATTTTTTGCTCTGGCCATTTGACATGACCTTTGCCATGGTCTCTCTCTTGCTCCCATGCACCATGCTGTCCTGTTTGTATGGAACATTCTTCCTCACCTTCAGTTCCTTCACCTTGGATATCCTTTCCTCACCTACCACAAACTTGGGTCAGTGCCCTCTTGGGTGCTCTCCTCTCCTAGCATAAGCATGCTGTAATTATCTACCTATCTGTCTTTCTCCCCCACTAGACCAAAAAGCAACACAAAAGCAGGGACTGCATCTTTCTTTTCTCTGTTGTTTTCTCTGTTCCTAGTGCAGTGCCTGGGCACATTGTAGATGCTCAATAAATATGCTGAATGATAAACTGAGTTAAATGAATGAACGAACTCCTCTGGGCTCTCACAGTTCCCTGTTGTTGGTCCTGTGGAAACACTTCTCTCTTCGCATTATAATTGCCTGGTTACTTTCCATCCTCCTTTCTAATCTGGGGGCTTATTTGCAGTGGAAATTACCTGGCTCATTGCTATAGTCCCAGTGTCCAGCACAAAACCTGGTAGTAGGCACTTAATAAATATTTATTAAATGTTGAACATTAATGGAAAATCTGCCAATCAGTTTGACCAAAAAACAAAAACAAAAATAAAAACAAGTTTTCTCTGGGCAGACATAATTTGGTTGAGATTTTTTTACTGCACACATGTAATAAAGCCAAGTTTTCTAACGAGAAATTTGTTCCTGGTTTGGATGATAGAATCAAATATATCAAGATCTCAAAGGACTTTTTTTGTATATTCTAGCCGCACAGGAAATTCCAAGTCAGCCACGAGATAGATACATACTCATTGATAAAGTTAGAAATAAGAGAACAGTTTCCATCCTGAGCTATATTGAGCCTTAAGATGACTATGATGATGTTGAAATCACTGAAAATATGGAAAACCATCATTTTACAACAAATCCAGGCCTTCCACCTTTACAATTTTGAGGAATGATGCTTTGCTCATGCCACAAATCAGTGGACTATAGTTTTCTTTATAATAATTACTGTCTGATCTCCTTGAGATACAAACAAGATTGTTTTCAGGAAATGCACCAGTATTACCAGCAACAAATTTTACAAATGAAGTGTACCAGTTAGGATGCTTTAGGCTACAAAGAACAGACTATATCCAACTAAAGAAAACTTACACAATGAGTTTATAACCTTATAAAACAAGAAGTCCAGAGGTAAGCACTCCAGAATTCAGTAGCTCCATGACTTAAGAATGTAGACTGACTTTGACTCTCTTAGCTTAATCCTCATGGAGGCAAAATAGCTGGCATAGCTCCAAGCATGCCATCCTCACGTGATAACATTCAAAGTTAGGAAGAAAAGGGGCATTTCTTCCCATGCATCTCTTTTTATTAGGGAGGAAAATTTTCCCAGAAGCACTAGCAACTTTCCCTAATGTCTCACTGGCCTAAATTGGTTCATATGCTCAGTGACTTAGTCTGGGCTCAGTAGTTTGGGCTACTGTAACAAAATACCTTAGGCTTGGTATTTTATAAACAATAGAAATTTATCACTCACAATTCTGAAGACTGGGGAGTCCAGGAGCAAGACACTAGTAGATTCAGTATCTGGTGAGAGCTTGCTCCCTTCTTCAAAGATGGTGACTTTTTGCTGTGTCCCTACATGGTGGAAGGGGAAGGCAGCCCCTGGGGCCTCTTTCGGAAGGGCACTAACCCCAGTCACAAGGGCCCCACCCTTGTGATCTATTCGCTCCCAAGGTCCCACCTTTTAGTACCATCACCCTGGGGATCAGATTTCAACATATGAATTCTGGGGGAAATACAAACATTCAGACTATAGCACCCAGCTATAGGAGAGGCTGGGAAGTGAAAAATTGGATATTTTCAGCATTTCTGGCTAGAGGTGGGCTCTGCCATCATGCCATCTGTGTGGGTTGATTCACTTTTACACATACACTATTCATTATTTATTCATCTTTCAGTTACAATCTCAGAGGTGTTAGAAGGTTCAGGTTTAGGTGTGGTGTCCAGATGCTACCATTTACCCTTCTTCTCTTACAGGGTTCTGACTAATAAAAATAGTTACAGGATTGCCAGTCAGATGAGGATAATAACAATAACAATAACAACAGTAATAGGAAGCGACCCTGACTGAGCACTTCCTCTGTGACAGTGTTCTCTGGGCTTCCACGTACAATGTAACCATGGCAGTGAATGGGCAGGACTGGTGGGGCGTAGACAGAAAAGAGCTTTATTCTCTCTCCCTCTGCCCTCCACCCTCTTCCCACTGTTCCTTGAACCACACTCTGAAAGGCTAGTTCTTCCCTGCTCTCTTGGATAAAATCTCAGGCAGATAGATGCCATTGGCTTTTCTGGTTACTTTTAGGTCATAAAAAGCTCTGCAGATATGTCTCACACAGGTGTATGCATTTGTTAAAACTCAGTGGATGTACACTTAAGATTTCTGCATTTCAACTTATGTCAATTTTACCTCAAAAGAAAGAACATGTAAACAGGTATTGAAGTCTGGTTCATGATTTGCACACTGAAGTATTTAGGGGGTTATGCACCGATGTCTCCAGCTTACCCTGAAATGCATACAAAGATAAGAGAGTTCTAAAGCTCGCACTGCCAGGCCTGAGATAAAAATGGAGCTTTCTTGTTATTGGCCTGTCTTAGTCTGTTTTCTATCGCTATAAATGAATAGTAATAGATATACCAGTGACTGGGTAAATTGAGCAGTAGCTACATGTGGGCCAGTGAGAAGTGTTGGGGCCTGTTCTCCTTCTTGAGGCAAAATAACTCCATCCGTATTCTCAGCAAATGTCTTAGACTCAACTCAGTCAGTTAGCCCCTCCTCTCTCCTCCTCAATGGGAGAGTAGAGGACTCTTCTTTCTCCTCTACAGAAATTGAG